ACATGATTCTATACCTAGCAGACCCAAAAGGGTCTACAAAGAAACTATTAGAGCTAATAAATGAATTCAGCAAAGTGGCAGGATATAAAATCAACACGCATAAATCAAAGGCATTCCTGTATATCAGCGACAAATCCTCTGAAATGGAAATGAGGACAACCACTCCATTCAAAATATCTTCAAAAAAAATAAAATACTTGGGAATCAACCTAACAAAAGAGGTGAAAGACTTATACAATGAAAACTACAGAACCCTAAAGAGAGAAATAGAAGAAGATCTTAGAAGATGGAAAAATATACCCTGTTCATGGATAGGCAGAACTAACATCATCAAAATGGCGATATTACCAAAAGTTCTCTATAGGTTTAATGCAATGCCCATCAAAATCCCAACGGCATTTCTTGTAGAAATAGAGAAAGCAATCATGAAATTTATATGGAAAAATAAAAGACCCAGAATAGCAAAAACAATGCTAAGCAGGAAGTGTGAATCAGGCGGTATAGCGATACCAGACTTCAAACTATACTACAGAGCAATAGTAACAAAAACAGCATGGTACTGGTACCAAAACAGGCGGGTGGACCAATGGTACAGAATAGAGGACACAGAAAACAATCCACAAAACTACAACTATCTTATATTTGATAAAGGGGCTAAAAGCATGCAATGGAGGAAGGATAGCATCTTCAACAAATGGTGCTGGGAAAACTGGAAATCCATATGCAACAAAATGAAACTGAATCCCTTTCTCTCGCCATGCACAAAAGTGAATTCAAAATGGATCAAGGAGCTTGATATCAAATCAGAGACACGCCGTCTGATAGAAGAAAAAGTTGGCTACGATCTACATACTGTGGGGTCGGGCTCCAAATTCCTCAATAGGACACCCATAGCACAAAAGTTAATAACTAGAATCAACAAATGGGACTTACTCAAACTAAGAAGTTTTTTCTCAGCAAAAGAAACAATAAGAGAGGTAAATAGGGAGCCTACATCCTGGGAACAAATCTTTACTCCTCACACTTCAGATAGAGCCCTAATATCCAGAGTATACAAAGAACTCAAAAAATTAGACAATAAGAGAACAAACAACCCAATCAACAAATGGGCCAAGGACCTGAACAGACACTTCTCAGAGGAGGACATACAGTCAATCAACAAGTACATGAAAAAATGCTCACCATCTCTAGCTGTCAGAGAAATGCAAATCAAAACCACCCTAAGATACCATCTCACTCCAGTAAGATTGGCAGCCATTATGAAGTCAAACAACAACAAGTGCTGGCGAGGATATGGGGAAAAGGGTACACTTGTACATTGCTGGTGGGACTGCAGATTGGTGCAGCCAATTTGGAAAGCAGTATGGAGATTTCTTGGAAAGCTGGGAATGGAACCACCATTTGACCCAGCTATTCCCCTTCTAGGTCTATTCCCTAAAGACCTAAAAAGAGCATGCTACAGGGACACTGCTACATCGATGTTCATAGCAGCACAATTCACAATAGCAAGACTGTGGAACCAACCTAGATGCCCTTCAATAGACGAATGGATAAAAAAAATGTGGCATTTATACACAATGGAGTATTACTCTGCATTAAAAAATGACAAAATCATAGAATTTACAGTGAAATGGATGGCATTAGAGCAGATTATGCTAAGTGAAGCTAGCCAATCCCTAAAAAACAAATGCCAAATGTCTTCTTTGATATAAGGAGAGTAACTAAGATCAGAGTAGGGACGAAGAGCAGGAGAAGAAGATTAACATTTAACAGGGATGAGAGGTGGGAGGGAAAGGGAGAGAGAAGGGAAATTGCATGGTAATGGAAGGAGACCCTCAGGGTTATACAGTGGAGGGGGTAGAGAGAGAGGAGGGGAGGGGAGGGGAGAGGTGGGGAGGGGGGATGGTGGAGGATGGGAAAGGCAGCGGAGCACAACAGACACTAGTATGGCAATATGTAAATCAATGGATGTGTAACTGATGTGATTCTGCAATCTGTGTATGGGGTGAAGGTGGGAGTTCATAACCCACTTGAATCAAAGTGTGGAATATGATATGTCAATAAATTTGTAATGTTTTGAACAACCCACAATAAAAAATTAAATAAAAAAAATAAATGAGCAGTTAGAGAAACTACAACTTCTTGAGGTTCATTGATATAGAATTTATCTTAAGCATGTTTTGATCACTTCTAGGAACTTTTCTCCCCCTATTTTACTATTACTCCATTGGAAGTGCATATATATTTAAAATTTTAATTGTACCTTTTTAAGTAAATAATATATCCTTTATTTGTTTTTATGTGGTACTGAGGATTGAACCTAGGGCCTCACCTGTGCTAGGCAAGCACTCTGCCACTGAGCTACAGCTCCACCCCCATTACCTATTCAAATTAATACCAATGTGTGAACATGTAGGTTATTTTTTTAAGGAATTATTTTTTTAATCTCTTTGAAGAGATCTGATAGAATCTCCTTTTTTATTGCTATTTCACTCTCTACATTGCTGCTTGATTTTTTTTACTGAAAAGTGGTTTAAAGGTAACATTAAACAGTTAATTTATTCCATTTGGGACATATGCCATAAACTACTGTAATTCCCTATGCAACCTAAAGTTTGGGAATAGATTATTGAAGGGGTAAATTGTAAAGTTTTAGGACATTTTAAGCCTCCCATGGTCTGGTATTGACCACTGCAAGTGGAACAGAGTAGCCCTTAAGCTCCATAAAGATGCTCAGTCCGTTCTTAACCTGTTTTGGTTTCTTGACAATGGAGAGACAATTTCCCCCTCTTCTCAGTTTTCAGAGCACTTGGGCTCATATTGCCATCTTAATCTACTTACATTTTGGGGGGTTTCCTTTGGGGATCCAATCACGTTGTGCAATTATTTGTAGTGATCCTTCTCTATAAAGTCTGGCTACACTCGGGGGGAACTTCAACATGTCTTCTCCCCTGTTTTCTCCTCCACGTTCCCCTCTTCATAGATTCTCTGCTCTTCCATCTGACTCTCCCTAACTATTGCCATCCATCAAAATCTAGTGCAAACTTCACGACCCATCTTGCTCTCATCCTCTAGGAACCCTTTCTTTATTTTTTCTGTTTGACTTTTTAACAGTAGTTGGCAGGGGCATTCAGAAGGAAAAGAAGCTGAAAGCCAAGAGGCAAATGAGGAAAGTGTTGCAGTGAGCCAGGCTTTAATTTATCAGGCTGTAGACTAACGTATAGGTTCAGTAGGACTGATAAAAAATGAATTTCACAAAATAATAAAGATGACCTGTCAGAGTTGGGTGTAATTGTGATTGATTGAACATAGGATTCGATCATTCAAAAATATTTCTATAGCTCTGACTACAAGAAAGGTGGTAAGGAAAAGAGATAAATGACCCAAAGTCTATTTGGAGAAACCTTATTAATCAAAGGATCACATTTGATTACACCAAGTATAGGTGATCACTATTTAAATTATAGTGAATAATTACCAAAAAGTAAAAGCACAGGTTGCTGATCCCTTAAATCAGGTTTATCTGCCTGGGTAAGATGAGGGGCCTGAGAGAAAAGGCTGGTCAAAAAGGAATTCATTGGGGGAGGGTTTTTATACTGATGCATGAAGGAGGACAAGGGCATAGTCTGCAAGGATGGTGAAGAATATTCCTTTCAGAGCAGGCATTGTAGACACAGGTGCTGGTTTGGGGCAAAGATATGTGTCAGGTAAGCTCAGGAAGGCCACTGTGGCCAGAGTTCAGAGTTAGCAAGTGCTGGGATGCAAGCTGCCACTGGGTGTGGGGAAAGTCCAGGTGATGTGGGCGTACAAGATCAGCAGATGTCCAGACTGCCCCTATTTTGACTCACAGAGTAATTTTTAATGGGCAGCTGGGGAGTGGCGGTAAGTTTTTCAGTGCTGATGACTTTGGGTTTAAAATTTGAGGTACTTATAGGACAGGAACATACTTTTGATGACTCAAAATATGAGAGTGATGAAGCAGGGTGAAATGGATACATAAAGAAGGAAGAGGAGTGGACAGAGGGATGAGAGAGGTTCTTTCATATAAGGTTTGTGGGTCAATTAGAGAGAAGGGATTTTCCTTTCTAGAGAGAGAAGACTTACAAAAAAAAAAAAGAATGAAAGAAGAAGAAAAAGGGAAAATGAGAAGAAATCAGTTATTTTGTAAGTGGTTATTTCCTGACACCCTTCTTCCTTTTCTATATGAGGCTGCCCATTGATCTTCTTGAATCACACTTTAAATATCATGTTCAGATTGGGCTGCATGAAAGGAGATAGGAAAAAAAAAGCCTATTTGGCATTGGTATTTAATAGGATATTAAAGAATGGATGGTCTCTAGTCGTCATTTTCACTTTCATCCTCCTCTCTATCCAACCTACCTCAATATCCTTTCCCAGCATGTAATTCACTGAAACTGCTTTTGTCAAAGGCACAAATGACTTCCACACTGACAGACCCAATGGTTAAATTATTGTCTTTCTTTTCATTCAGAATGTCTCATGCTGTATTTAGATCACAAAAAATACGAATAATTCAGTGATTATCTGTGTACATAATCATCACATTTAAAAAGCAAAATATTACCAATACTATTGAATGTATCCTGTTTCCCTCCCAAATGGCTTCTTCTTCTCCTACTCTTAAAGTAACTAACTAGGATGATGAATTTAGCAGTTTTTTTTTTTTTTTTGTAATTTCCATCTATTTCTTTACATTTTTATTATATAGATTACTCTAAAAGAATAAAGATTTATTTTGAGTACTTAAATAAAAATGGATGGGATTTTGATTGACACATATAGTCTGGGATGGGAGACTGGAGCAGAATCAATAAAGGAGAAGAAATTGTTAAAGAACTAGAAGAGACTGCCCTGACGGTATAGGGCAAATCCTCAGCTAGCAAAGAACAATCCTTCCAATGGAACACCAGGTGGCTGACAGGTACCCCTTACCTATCTGCCATGTTTACAGTTGGGAGGAGTATGAGCTTGGTACTTACTTTCTGCATGAAATGGTTTAGTACATTCTTCTCATTAGTTATTTCAGATACTGGGGACATGCTCCAAACAGAGGTTTCCCCAGATAATGCTGTGAAGGAAAATGGAAGAAGGGATGTATCCAAACTCTTCTGATATTCAAGACCTTCCTCAGTGTGACCTTGATGTTTGATTTCAGCCTCATCTCTTTTGACTATGTTGCTTATTTAAGTTGCATTGCTATTTCATCTTATTTCTCCTTTTCATACCTTCATTTTTCAGTGTTTCTGATCAGAATGTTCTCCACCCACTTATCAATTTGGTTAACATTAAGATTTTTTTAGAGTCAACCTCAAATGTCACCATGTTTGTAAAAATACTGCTTGCACCTTTTTAAAAGCAGACTTGAGAATTTCTATCTTTGCACTTGTCTTTTACTTTGTTTTTTGTTTTAAACTTTCTCTTATTACATTAGCTGTTTTTCTTTTGAGACTCCTTGAATGTATAAGGACTCTCTTAATTTTCTTTCTAACACAAGACATGTAAATATTAACCATTAGTAAATAGTTGAAATTGCTTGTCATGCCAAATGATTTGGGTGGGTCTAGGAAAATGAAGACTGAGGAAAAAGTTATCCATGACTTATGAATGACCTTTTAAAACAAAGTCATGATATGTATATGCCTATTGCAAACATCCAAATCCATTTTTTTCACTCTTTAGTCACTGGGGAACAAAAAGAAAAGTGACCTCATTATCAAAGTATTGAGTAGCATCATTAATTCATAAAATTGAACAGGTTTCTTAGGTACTTTTTGTTCACAGTGTATATATAATAGCAGTTTGAAATGGTTCAGTTACAGTACCTGTTGTGACCAGCAGATGCCTGCAAACACCATAAAATCATTTTGTCCAGATTAATTTTAAAGTACATGCTGCTGTGTTTTTAGAATTATATTTTGCTTGCCTAGTAGGTTTATTTGCATTCCAGTCTTTGCCTTTTAATTGCAAATGAAGAGAAAAGTGATAAGACATCTCCCTTAAAAGAAAGGGGCATTAATAGTTTTCTTTCTGGGAAATTAAATCAGTGGAATTGTATGTCATTTTAAAAATTGGATTGAAATCGTAAAAGAAGAGTTGTAAATACTATGTCATTCCTTTTCTGATAAGATCAAGAGAATTTCATTCTACTGTGTCTTTTTCTTCAACCAATACAGGAGATGTATTCAAAAGGAATAATTCCCATTTCTGCTGTGTCTACAGTACGAGTTCAAGGAGACAACAAATTTGAAGTTGTTACAACACAAAGGACTTTTGTGTTTAGAGTAGAAAAAGAAGGTAAGATTATTTCTTTATCCCTTCAAATATGTGGACATTGATTTTTGACCAGATTTTAACAAACCAGCTAAAAAAGAAATGTGAAGAAATTTTAAAATATTACTTTTAAATGATTTGTGTTTTAAAACTATTTTAAAAATGCACAATGTTAAATCCTAAATAAATAGAGAAGTTGTCTGTGTGTGGTTTGCTCACTGCCCTTTCTTGCAGCAAAAAATTTAGTGAGGAGCTTTCAAATTCCAGATACAGCAGTCAAAAAAGTAGCAGGAATGTGCTCTCAAGGAAGTCACTCTAAGCTCTTATTTTGGTAATGCAAAATAGCTATTTAATATGCAAAAACAGTTCTTAACTATTAGGAAGTTGATTTTATGAGGAAGTTTACTTTACATAGGACAGGTTTTTAGCTTCAGCTTAGGACACAGGCACACCAGTCATTCTGTTTCACATTTTGAAGCATCTTTTTCATTTCTTGAATTTTTTTCATGTTCATCATCTATCATGGGTCACTTGATGGCAAAAATTGATGTAAAGATGGCAAGTGTTTTCTGGATTGTATCTAAACATGTACAGAGGAATCTTTTCTGGATTTTGTTTAGTTGGGGAATAAGAAGCAAGGGGAGTTAAAAGTTCTCTGTTTTATATTTGTTTGACTATCTAAAATGTCATTATTATAAACTTCACCAGTTTGAACTAACATAGGTAAGATCATTTCCTTAATTAAAGAAATGAAGTTTTAATTTATTTTAAGGATTGCTTTTATTGTAGTATAGATACATTATTAATTTGATTTTTTTCAAAGTATTTCTACTTTTATTGTAGTAAAGATCCATTATTAATTTGATTTTTTTCAAAGTATTTCAGAGCTTTCTTTGAGTAATAATGGTATGGAAAACTAATTACTTGAAGTGTGCCAAAGACATTCTACCTGTTCATTTTTATAGCACTCTTAAAAGTGTGTACCATTATTATCCCATTTTACAGATGAAAGTATTTACCAGAAGTTGGAAACTACTGTGGTGTTAACTATCACCTGTTAGATTGTTAGAATATATTTCTGTGTATGACACAAAGAGTTCAATAAAAGTTATATATTACTAAAAGTTTTTTTATTGCTTGGGATGATCAATAATTAGTGCATCCTAGTTAACCTTCACACTGCAGAATTTTTTTTCAAACTGTAGATTTCTGCTGATTTGTGAGAAGAGCTCCATGATCTGTCTTTATGATGGTACCCAAAACTAAAGTACTTTTTTTGTTTTGTTCAAAACAACAACAAAATGATAAAGTGCATTTCTTATAGTAAATATTATATTGTGAAACATAATTGTATACATTGCATGGATTTAATGTAAAAATGTTTCTTACTTGGTATTGAAAAAAATATATGTATATATTAGAAGCTGTGGCCCTAAAGGCAAGGTCAGCAAACTGTGTGGCCTGTAGCCTAAATTTGGTCATTGTTTTAACAAAATAGTCTTGTTAGTTTCAGTTGGCTAGTCCGTTTCCTGGAGCATTTTATCAAGAATTGCCTATGTGAGGAGCCACTTTTGTGAATCGTTGCCTAAAATTCAGAAATTGCTCACAGTTTTGATGCTCAATATGGGTTTTGCATTTGAAATCATATTTGTTCTCTTCCTGTATTTCTTGATAACACAGTATTGCTCATCTAGATTGGCCATTGTGACAGTCTTTCCTTATGCTTTGATTTCTACTGCCCTTAGAGGTGACTGCCTGTTTCTTTGAGGTGCTTGTCACCTCCACTTGGCCTCTTGAAGTGAATATCACATATGTCATACAGCCTGCATCTTAAGGTAGACAACTGAAAATCTCTATAGATGTATTTATTTTAAGGCGACACATTTTATTTAAGTAGAATGTATCAATCCACACGAATTTAAAAGTTGCATGTTTATAATTGGCCAATAAATCCTGTGGTATGTAGATAATTTTTGTGATATAAACTTAGTGTAAGAATTTAATTATTTTTGGTGTAAATTTTTTGTTAACTATATCATAGATCTTTAATTTTTGAAACCATGGAAACACTGCTTCAGTAAATACTGAGACTGTTTCCACGTGGAGTTACTGAATAAGTTATTTTGACTGGAAGTTTTTTCATAGTAACAACTTACATTTTAAAATTTGTATGTACAAGTATGTGTATGTCCTTATATGTAAGTGATACATGTGTGTTACCTGTGTGTTCCCATTTTTAGTATGGAGCCTTTAAGAAGATACTCAATTTGTTTTATAAAATATTCATTCCCCCAACGTGTATAAATGGTTGATTATGTTTTATTTTATGGGAAGTGAGAAATCAACTACAGTGTCTTATGAAAAAATTGGCCCAATGAACTTAGATCTAAATTAAAGTTTGCTTCAATCTAATGAAGCAGAATCAAAGTTGTGGGCAGAAAGGGGAATGGTTTGAGTTTGATAACATAACAGATGACTTCCTTCATTTTTAGTGAAGAGGTTTTGAACGACTATGTACAACTGCTGCCTTTGTCTTCCCTGAAACCAGTGTCACTGTTTTTGAACTGCTCCCCACCCATTTGCAAGGCTAAGACAGGTTTGCAGTTTGGCATCTTGTCCATACAAGTCACTTAAGGCTTAAATTCCTTTAGGTTTCCTGCTAAATATGATTACTCTATTAGTGGAAAGTGAATTTTATTGAAATAATAACATTTCTAAAATACTCTTCTTCCTCAAATGCAAAGTTTAGTCTGACTTCTTGTTCTCAAGCAGAACCATTGGGGTGAATGGTGAACATTGGAGCAAAGAGTGTATCAGTTCATGATCTCTTTGGTCAGTCTGTATTCCTGTGGCACCTGTAACAGGTGATATTTTGAGTGGACGCTTGTCATGATTAGAAGAGGGCTGAAGAATTCTGAGTGGATTTTTCTTTCAAGACATTATCTGACTGGCTCTTAGCTGTGGGTCCTGTGATTCTTCTTTCCACCTTAACATGTTCAAGAACCCTGGGAAATAGGCAAGTGGGTGAGCTCTCAGCCGTTTTTAGGCAACACCATAAACTTTCCAGTGGTGGCTGTGATACTGATACTGGAAAGTAGTCATTTATTTATTTATTTTTAAAATATGCTTGATAAATTCTCCTTAATTGTTTTGTACAAGCAGTCTCATCCTTCTTTTGAAATCTTCAGTGTTTTTAGAAGCGAGGCGTGGAATACCTATAGTCCTTTACTCTCTTACGCTACTTAATGCTGTTAACAATGGTCAATGGGTATCTGCTTTACAGACTTAATTAATGGTGTTTTGGAATTTTCTGATATAGTTCATGAACTTGCTAGGATTCCCAATTCCTTTTAAAATATTGTATTATGGGGCCTCAAATTTGGTTTTGAAGAAGATCTCATGGGTTTAAAGTGACTAATCTCAAATATGTATGTCCTCTGATCTCTTTCTGTACTCCAGATCTGTATATTTAGCTGACCACTGAATATGGGTGTTTAGTGACATCTCAGACTTAAAAATGACAAATACTTATTTTCACTCTCTCCACTAAACCTTCCCCTGTGACCTTCCTCATCTCTATAGATGGGAGACTTGCCAGCTGCTGCCCTCTTATCCTGGCGTGCTCACCTCCAGGCACCCTCCTGGCTGGCTCCATTGCTTCCAAGGCCATTAGGCTTTTGTTTAACCACCCCTATTTTTCTGAGGCTTTTTCTATTACCCTATATAAAATAGCATACCCTGTACCCCTCATCCTGTGCTTTGTCACTTGTAACATATGGTAGTGAGTATCTAAGTTCTTACTGCCATCGTCCTCCCACTAGAGCATAAACTATGGGAGAGTAAGGCCATGATCTGCCTTGTTCACTCTCACTCCTGGTTTTCAGTCTTGGGTATAGTAGGTGCTCAGTAAATATTTGTATGGTTAAGTGATTGTGTATTTGATGAACGATGCTTATGTAGTACTTTCTTCCCTAATGTCAGTCATGAGTGACATTGAGAGATCTTTGTTCAAACAGATTAATCAACAGTAATGGTCCAAAGAACAAGCCACATCATGTTAGATGATAATAAACATGATAATGATATTAATGATTTTTTTATACTGGTGATTAAACTCAAGGTCTCACACATGCTAGGCAAGCACTTTATTACTGGGCTACATGCCCAGCCCATTTAAAAATTTTTTGTTTTGAAACAGGGTTTTGCTAAATTGCCCAGGCTAGACATGAACTTGTGCAATCCTCCTGCCTCTTTCGCCTGAGTAGCTGGGATTACAGGCATGTGCCACCATGCCTGGCAAAATTATGTTATTCATGGTTTGCATGTCTGTAATGTAGTTATTATCTCTGGTATAATCAATCATTTTTTACTGATGACTATACCTACGGCTAAGTCCGGTAGTCTGAGAACATTGAGTCTTTTCTGTTGATTTTTGTTTAATTTCATTTTTTATTCTTATAAATTGACATTTCTGAAAACCTCAAAAACTAATTTCAGGCTGAAGAAATTGCTATTGTCTTTGGTTTACATTCTAGCAAAATCACTTGTTCTTTTTTTTCTACTACTTTTCTTCCTAACTGGAATGCTACACTTAAAGCAAAGCCATAGTTAAGGTAGGGCATCTTTTTACAAGGAAATCATGCATAGTACAGTGTGAAGATAAAGATAGACAATCAATAGATATGTGTTATTGGATGGAATGAAAGAACAGTAGTAATATATACTCTGATCTGCAGGAGGTACATTCCAAGACCCCCAGAATCCACTGAGTCATAGTCAAATTCTGTATATTACTATGTTGTTTCTTATCTGTGTATACACAGGATAAAGTTCATTTCATAAACTGTGCACAATAAAAAATTAATAGTCATAACTAATAATGAAGTAAAAGAGTTATAGTATACTGTAATAAAATTTATGTGACTGTGGTCTCTCAGAATTTCTTATTGTACTTTTACCTTTTTACTTGAAGTACCTCCCAGCTTGTTTGTAGCATATCCAGATGGCCAGTTTTGCTGCTATTGTGTTTTGGGGCCATTATTTCATAAGACAAGGACTACTTGAACCTAAGTACTGCAATACTATGACAGGTAACATGATTACTGACTGACAGATGAGTATCATATACAGAACAGTATGGATACACTGGACTATGGGATGACTAATGTCCTTGGGTGGGACACTGGGACAGTGCAAAATTTTACCACACTTCTTAGAATAATGTGCAATTTAAAACTCGTGAATTGTTTATTTCTGGAATTTTCCATTTAATATTTTTTGACTATAGTTGACCTCAGGTAATTGAAACTGCAAAAGTGAAACCATGGACAAGGAGGACTGCTGTATCTTAGTGTGAAAAGCAGACAAAAGCTGCTGGCACAGTTTCTATCTTTGCCCCAGTCATTTTTCCAAGGGGAAATCATAATTCGGTTTGGAGTATTGTGGGTTATCAAAGCACATTCACCCATGTCTAAGGAGACACATGTTGCAAAGCCAGATACAAATGATGCTTGCTCTTTTACTGTGTTTGCATTAGTTTTTCACTGTCCTCTCTCTCTCAGAATTGATTCCAAAAGCCTGGTGATCTTATCCCTGATGCTAAACCACTAATGGAACAAAAGAAAAAGGAAAAGAAGTTTTATTGCTTTGGTAGCGAAGGAGAAAGGCAGTGAACTCATGTCATAGAGGTTGCCATTCTATCTGCTGGGGGAATAAGAACTTTAAAAGGGGGTGTAAGAGCTGTTTCCCAAGTACTATTATGAGTATATATAATTAATATTTAACTTACATCCTTGAAAGAGATATTGTTCCAGGTTTGGGGTTTCTTTATTCTTTTGTACAGTGAGTGGAAGAGCAGATAACTCTGCTTAGTACAGGAGAGTATTAATTTGCTTCTCTCGTGTCTGGGGATGGGAAGAGGGATAAGAGTAAGGGAAAAAAAGTCAGCTTTAAAGTAAGTTGTTAGTGGAAGAGCAGCAGGAATTATATTGCATGAAAGAGACCCCTGTTACAACAGGGAGAATTAAGACCGAATGCTGCTACTAATTCTTGTTCTTCTTAATCTTCATAATTATTTGCTTCCTATTAGTAATGGAGGTCCCCAGAAGCAAGAGAATGTTAGGGAACCTTTATTGCAATGCCGCCATTATATACATAAGAAGAAAAAAAGCAATTGCCAGTTTCAAATTAATTCCTACGAATTTGAGATATATGCTAACAGTGACCTAAAAGGCCACACTATGGCCCAGTTCATTAATTGTGGCCTGCATTTCAAACTGATTCATGTCGATTAACACAAACAAGCAAACAAATAAAAGCCATTACATACATTTACTTGGCAGAGACATATTGTGTGAAACTAATGATCATAAGTAATAACCCAGTTAAGTGGAAGCTCTCGAGCTGTATGTAGAATATTATCATAGCGCAATCTGGATCTGTTTATGTGGATGTAAAACTGCAGGGAGTCACTGCCTATTAATTCATTTAGCTACCTGAGTACTCTGACATCTTCACTTTAGGATACATAACATTGCTGGGAACATTTTGGTAAATATTTTATCCTGAGAGCACCAGTTGTTGGGGATTTCATAACCCCTGTAAAAATGTATAGGTTTTTAATAAATACGTTGGCTTTGAGTCATTGACACTGCTGCCTTTAGTTTTTTTTTTTTTTTTTTTTTTTTAATAGGTGAGCAGGAATAAAGATAATTTAAAAATTAAGACTCCTTATGAAATGATTTTAGAGTTGAATTTGAGCAAGTCTTAAGATAGAAACTTAATTTCAGTCCCCAGTGAAGCTGCTGTGGGTAGAACTTTCTTAGAAGGATCTGAGAAACTGTCCTAGTTCTCAAATTTTGGCCCTACTTACTCTTTCCTTGAAAGTCTTTCTTACCTGAGATTCATTCTGCTTGGTTTTGTTCTTTTTTTCGGTATTTTTTTTCCCCCTTTGACTTGTTAAGCACGTCCTCATTGTTTGGTGGCCCATTTTCTGGTCTCATAGATGCAGTCTTACCTCAGGATTTGCCCACTTCTCTATGTCACCACTCCACCCCTGTGGAGTGGCTTCCTTTGCTTGTATGTGACTGTCAGTCTGCCAAGTGTTTGTGCCAGGGCACTGAACACCTGAGGTGTCCTGTGGAACCGCCTGCCTTTGCCTGCCCACTTGTGACATCAAGCTATCTTGTATTCTTTATTTATTTTCTAGAACATCCATCAGATGTACTCAAATCCTCAGCCATGCTTTGCCCTCCACATTCTTCTGCTTCCATCTCCTGGAACTGTACAGGCTCCACTGCCTCACTCTTGGTCTTGGCTTCCAGTTTGGCCCACGCATCATCTTCTTAATGACACTAATTGTGTCCTTCCTTGCTAAGAATCCCAACATGTTTTTTTGTTTTGTTTTGCTTTTTGCCTCTGTAATAAAAACAAAATTCTTCAAAAAGGCAGTGCAGATTTTCTAGCTGTATTTCCCATTATTTCCTTGTGAGTTCAAAATTATAAATCTACTTAAGTTAGTCCCTAACAGATGTTGGTTCTTCCTGCCTGTGTTCTTGTGTTGTCCTTGCTCAAAATTCTGTTCTGCTCTTCCCTCTCCCAAACCCATTTAGAATTGCTCCTCATCCACAAGAGCTAGCACAAATAACCCTTTTTACCTATGGTGCCAAAAACAGTTGTATGAGTGTTAAAACATTTGATTGTCCTAATTTTAATACTAACTTCCTGCATGACCTTCAGCAAATCACTTACCTCAACTGAATTGACTCATATATTATTTGATACCATTTGTATGACATTTATACTATTCTGTGTTCCGTTATGTGTTCATATCTAACTTGACTTATAGCTTTGATTGGTCTTTGGGGACCAAATCAAATTCTTGTGCTCCTAACACAGTGTGTGGTGCATAGTTGAAGGTCACTTAACTTTTGTGGAGGGAGTGGGAGGAGCAAGTGTTGATTTGCTAACTGAACCGCTGCTGTTACTGGAAGTGGAATGGAAGGACAAATTTCAGGGCAGTGTTACGACACTGGGTTTTGGGGCTATTTTGGTGATTGAATTGCTATATTCAATTATTAATTGTTAGGTTGCAGTATTGCTTTCTTCTACTGAAAGGAAAAATCCAGTCTTATGAATCATCTGAAGGAGTATTCCTCATTCTTTAAAAAGGATATAGGTTGCCTGGAGTTATTTGTAAAATGTAGGTTCTGATTCATGAGGTCTGTAGTGAGGCCACAATTTTGTATTTCTATTTTTTTTTCTTTTATTTTCCTTTTTGGTACCAGGCATTTAACCCAGGTGCACTTAACCACTGAGTGGCATCCCCGGCCCTTTTATATATTTTATTTAGAGACAGGATCTCAGTGAGTTGCTTAGGGCCTCACTACATTGATGAGGCTAGCTTTGAACTCGTGGTCCTCCTGTCTCAGCCACCTGTGTTGCTGGTATTATAGGTGTGCACCACTGCATCTGCAGAGATTTTGTATTTCTAATAAGCAACCAGAAGCCAGTGGTACTGGTTCTGTAACAACCAAGTAGTAAGTGTTTTTTCTTTTCCCTTAGAGGGCTGGACTCTTGTCCCTGCCCCCAGTAGTGTTTAGAATGTGGTTGTGGGGGAAAAAATTGTGAATAATCTATATCCAAGGAAGTAGATTCCTTGATGACATTTTTTTTTAAATCTGTGTGACTTATGTATAGATTTATGTATTTTCTCCTGTCTATTTTCAGAGGAGAGAAATGACTGGATCAGCATACTATTAAATGCATTGAAATCACAGTCCTTTACTTCCCAGTCTCAAGCAGCTGTTGCACCTGAGAAGTGTGGATATCTTGAACTGAGAGGATATAAAGCCAAAATTTTTACTGTGTTAAAGGGAAGCAGCGTGTGGCTTTGCAAAAATGAACAGGTGAGCAGTGCTATATTAATTGCTGATTGATGTTCTTTGATTATAGTAACAATTGTGAGTTGTCAGCATTATTAGTGTCTTGGTTTTTCTTTTGCAGTGAGTTCTGTACCAATTGTAACAAAGAGAGTAGTTAAATTTTCTGTTTCAGAAATGTGTCTGCATATTTGAGATTGGATATCACCATTTTAAGGGACTAAGAAAATAGAATTGTTAAATAATTTTTGAAACACATTCCTTAGTTGAAGTAACATAAAACTACAAGAGAGACAATATAGGGGCTGGGGCTATAGCTCAGTGGCAGAGTGCATTCCTGGCATGCACAAGGCCCTGAGTTCAAACCCCAGCACCGTAGAAAAATAAAGAAATAAGTATCTAAATTGCAGGTGTTGGGGCTGGGGTTGTGGCTCAGCCGTAGAGTGCTTGCCTAGCATGCACAAGGCCCTGGGTTCGATCCTCAGCCCCACATAAAAATAAATAAATAAATAAAATAAAGATATTGTCCAACTACAACTGAGAGAAAAAAAAATGAAAAGAACCAATATAGAGGCTGGGGCTGTAGCTCAGTGACAGAGCGCTTGCCTAGCATGAGTGAGGCACTGGGTTCAGTTCTCAGCACCACATAAAAATAAACACAATAAAGCATTCTGTTCATACATAACTATATAGAAAAAGAACCAATGTAGACGTTGATGAAATAGACCCAGTTCTGTACCTGTTATGCCTCTTTTACTTTTTTGAGGGAAAAAATATAAAAACAGGTAACATAGTCAATTGAGTTTAGAAAATTTTATTTTATTTTTTTTAGCGAATTTTTTTATAGGAAAACTAATTTATTAGAGATAAGTGAGATATATGTGTGTATATATAAAATGCATATATACATGTGTGTATATATAAAATGCATATATATGTGTGTATATATATGTACAAACATATCTTTCTAACACACATGTGCATAAATAAAACAGATTTGAATTGTTGAGTTATTGAATTTGGTTAATATGAAAAGACTGAATAAATAATTTAAATATTTTTGAGGAGACTGATGATGAAATAAAGTTTTATTGAGCCTTGTTAGTTTTATTTGATTTTGTAGACTATATTTTCTGTAGTTATTTCTGGAATTTAATATATAAAAGGAAATTCTTTTTGTTTATTTTGGGGGATACCTTTTCATTTTTAAATCTTTATCCTAGAATATATTAGGTGCTTTATAATTATTTGTGGAATTAAACATGTGCTTTGGATATCTGATCTAAGATGAACTCATTTTATGATAAATTATAATGGGTTATGGTAAGGTGAAGTATAAATGTTTTTATAACAAAAATTGAGATAGCCACTCAAAACAAGCAGTAGGTTTTTTTTTTTTTTTTTTTTTTTTTTTAATAGCTATAGATCTTTATCCAAGGTATCCTCTGAACCTCAGTGTGAACTTATTCATTAAATTTTCTGGATAAGATTTCTTAGCCAATTAACTGTGGAAGGCATCATTGAGCACTGCTGGCATACTAATAACTTGGATAGTTAGCATACTCCTCAAGAAGAACAGTTATGTACAGCTTAATAATGTGTATGAACCAAATAGGAGCATTTTCAGTCTGTGAAGTTGGATGATTAAAACTTTTCTTTTTGGAATCAAGATTTAAATTGCATGATTTGCTTGTATCTGTATGGAAGTTACTGTGCAGAATTGTTCATTTTTTTTCACTTTTACAGACCTGATGGACTTAATGTTTTTTGTTTCATTGCTAACATTAGCAAGATTGTCAAGTTTGTTATTTCCTAGATGGCAGATATTTTAAATGTTTTATTAACACTTTCTGATTAGCAAAAAATATATGAAATTATTTCTTTAGTGATTGAGCATGAAAGGCACAATAATGATTCTCATTCATTGAGTATCAGGTACTATGCTAATTTAGTTGTATATATTCTCTTTTAATCATACCTACTAATGTAGGAAGAAGATATTCTCATCTATGCTGTATAGATGAGGAAAACAATGATTAAGTAATTTAGGAATTTACCGTGCAAAGTTTGATTTAAAATCTAGACTTCATAACTCTTGTCTTCTTAACAGTCAAACAAAAGCTGTAAAGTCTAGGTTGAAAAGAAATTTTTTGACTTTGGGCCTTTTAGAAATAGCCCAGAGTTTCTTTTTTGTCAATCATTTCTTTGCCTAGTTTGGGGATATTCACTCAATAAATAATGTGTGCCAGGTTGGGCATTCTTCTTAGTAAGAAGGAAGAAAAGCTACACAAGACCAATAATGGATGATGAGCTTAGTGCTATATTAGATTGTGCTGTAGTTACAGAGAAATCTGTTAATTAGATACACTTCCATGTACTTAAGTAATGAATGTATTCTCCTTAAAAAAAAATGAAGCACTGAAATTGGACCCCTCTCCATTTTTGATAAGTAAATACATTTTTGATATGCATACATTTCAAGACTTTTTGTACGCATTGATATGCCTATATATGTACCTTTAAAAAGTGCATTGTTGTTTGTGGATGCACTTTTGTTTTTTGTTTTTTAATTTTGTAATTGTATCTTATCATATGGAGTCAGATCTTAAAGCACATGTGCTTGAGTGGAGTCTTAAGGAATGAGTTGGCTCCAGCCCCAGTGGAGAAGTCGAGGAAGGCCATACAAGTTCAGGTCCTGCCCATGTCATCGCAGCCTCATATATTTTTATGTTCTGATATATGCCTTTTTCTCCAGAGGATGGTAGCTTATTGGTTATCCCACATGTTGAAGGAGCTTATGTGAAGTATACGGTGCCTGCCAAGAAAGGAAGTTGTCTTTCTCCTGAGTGCAGAGGGCTTTATACCAGTGTGGGACTCAATCTGTGTTTTAGGAACAGTGCTAAATGATGTTGAATTTCTTTTCAACCTAAACTTTAAAAAGCTTGATTTAACTGCTAGGAAGCCAAGCTTAGAGTTGTAAAGTCCAGATTTTAAATTAAACCTTGTCTGGTAAACTATAATCCCTAGACCAGTTGCTTTCCTTTTCTGTGACCAAAAGACCTGACAAGAACAGATTAGAGGAAGAAAAGTTCATTTTGGCTTCTAGTTTCAGAGATTGTGCTTGGTTGATTCTGTAGTCATGGCAGAAGGGCATGGTGGAAGAAAGCACTCAGTTCATGAGAGCCAGGAAGGAGAGAAAGAGCTCAGCTTACCAGGAACAAAGTTTAAACCCAAAAGGTACACCTCCGGTGACACAGTATGGTAGTCTTGTCAGTTACTAATCCATTGAATAGATTAGCCTGTGGATTTTGTTATAGCATTTATAATTTAATCATGTCACCTTGAACATTTTCGATGTCTCACACATGAACTTTTGGGGGACACCTCATAACCAAACCATAAGAGGTAATGAAATATTTTGATGCATCTCCTAAAAATTTTACGCACACACACACACACACACACACACACACACAGTAATCTTGTATATTTTTTTAAGCTGATAGAAAAAAAATATTCATTATAAAACTACAGAGAGTGTGAGGATTGAACTTGTGTATCTTCGTTTGTGTTGGATCTAATATAGTGCTAGGCAATCAGGTTTAATTATTTTTGTTGTTTTAAAGCTGCATTTATTGCCCACATAACTTAATTGCATAGAGAGAATAAAAAATAAAGAAATTGACCTGTGACACAGGAATAATTACCTGTTATATGTCTTTTAATATATGCATTGTTTTAGTAATTGACTTTGGTGGTCACTTCAAAGAGTGACAGTGGGCAGAGGTGGAGGAGTGGGCCTTTCAGCAGCATGAGCTGAAGAGTCATGAAAGAAGAAGCTCGTTTACCACAAAGATTGAATCTTTTATACCAAATCGAAAGTGTACATTTTTCCAAGTTAAAATAATTATTAAAACACTTGTAATTAATGACATTACCTTTGAAATTCCCTTTCTCTTCTCCAGAAGTGGCATGAGGGCAATAAGGGGGTTTCACAGTTCACTGGCTGGTATTAACTCTATAACTAATGTGCGTCAGTGTGGATTTAACACATGCTCTGGTTTTCTTAGTTACTAAGTACAAAGGTTTACTTTATTTTTTTTAACCCCTTTCACTCCCTTTTATTCATTAGCACATCATAGGAACTGAAATCTGCGGTAGCTCTTGGGCTGCATAGGAGAAGTACCTTAGGGAATGTTTTATTAGGTGTTGCCTTACACCTTTTCATTTTTGTATTTTTTTCAGATAGGCTTTATTTTACAAGAAGTAGGAAAAACCATGAGGAGATATGTAAAAACGTTTGTTGAGAGGAAAATGGATAGTCAAAACTGACACTAAAAATCTTTACCTAATTACCCTGTGGCAAAACACTGCACTGCCCTTATCACATAAATTAAATGTTATGCCTTACAGGGTAAGCACCATCTCACAGCCCCGCCCTGTTTTAATTTTTAAACTTTTCTTGTGTTTCTTCTCTCTGCAGTGTTTTATATGCTTGTAGTATGTTATGATTAAGGCAGTTTTTCCACATTATCATATCAACTTTGTATAAAACGGTTTGCTTAGGCTATAATACAGTGTTGTTTTTCTAGATCCATCTGTCTGTTTAGCAAATGTGGGCACCCCCTCTCATTTCAGAGCTCTGCTTTAGGTATTAGGGCAGTGGTAATCCCCAAGATCTCTGCTCCTTGGAACCTTACTTTCTGATTGGAGTAACACAGTGATAAGGATGTGAAATTTCTTGTAGCCTTTTATATGCAGCCTTCTGTCTTGTCCTATATATATATTTTTTTCTTTTTGAGGGCAAGAATTCCTGTGACCTTTCCTTTATATTTAAAATGCTGTTAGCTATGTGACTAGGTTATCAGTTACATTTTAGTCTTAATAGAGAGTTATAATATTTACAATCCCAAATTAATAGCATGAATATTTATGTTATTCATTTTTGTGTGCTTAGGAATTCCAGACAAGCAGCTGTACGCCATAAACATATGTGGATCCTACTTGAATTAATGATAACTTATAGATGTTTTCCAACTGGATAGTTTAAAAAGTTTTTTTTTTCACTTTCAATTACTTTTTTCACTATGAAGTATCTTTTCATTTTATGTCTCTGTTTATTCATTGAGATTTTATTTTCTTGTTAGTTTTTGTCTTACAGAAGTTCTGTTGGCATAATTTATTTTTGAAAAAAATATTTGAAAGTTTATAGATCTTCTGTACTGTGGGACAATTATTATTTTACAAGTTATTTATCTTGATATGGATATACTGAACAAGCCAATGTTTACAAAAATTTCAAACAAGAAAATCAAATGTGAACATACTTTGAAATATATGTATTACATACAAGGTATTGTTAGTTGGATGGAATTTCTGCAAATGGACGTGAGCAAATTTAAGACAATTGACTTTGGTTTCCATTTTTTTTTTTAACTGACAGCCAGTCTCCCATCTTTTCCCGATGAGTTTTTAAAATATCGTGTTAATATTAGGGAATTCATTACAACCAGATGTCTAGCTTGGTGGGTTTGGGTATCCATTTGATGATAATTGTGGCATTGAGATCTGCACTGCATAAACTCACTTGATTAAGCATTCTCAAATCAGGGTATAACAAGAAATTCATCCCCCTGCTTTCCCCCAACATAATGTCCCCTGGTGTTCTGGCATAGGAAGGAAACTCTAATAGAATTTAAATAGGCCTCATAGGGCTCAGGGCTGTGTGGCAGAGAAAGAAACTGCAGGATGTAGGTGGTGGCCTGGCATTTTCTGGGTTCTGTATCTGGCCAAACTCTGCATCTGGCGTTTCCCAGGAAGTCTGGTGCCAATGTCATACAATGCCACATCTGTTTTCAACAAATGTTTAAGCACCGAGTTCTTAAATTCCTGGCAGGGAAACCTAGCATCCAGTATTTCCAAAAATAGATTTCAGATTTCAGCAAATTTGGGGTTAACAAATGCTTCCTAAATTTTTCTGTTTAGTAATCAAACTTTCATTTTTGTCCTTGTAGTATGTAGTTTTAAAGCGTAATTTTAGCCCTATTCTGTTGCCACAGATTTATATAAATAACTCATCTGAGTATCTTGATAAATATTTACTATGAATACTATCGGAATATTTAGTATGGAATAATTGCTGTAAATACTTTCAGTCATTATAAATAAAATGTAAATATTTTTATTGAAGATAAATTCTACATTTAGAACTTTCAAATAAAAGAGTTGTCAAGATATTTTAGTTTTATTTAAGTTTTTACTTATTCATTTACCTTTTTTTTTTTGCACAGTGCTGGGGATTGAACCCACGCCCTCATACAGGGTAGGCAAGCCCTTTACCACTGCCCTACATCCCAGCCCTCATTTACTTTTTGTAACAATACTCTGTTAGGTAGATATTACTCCATTTTCATAAATAAGGAAATTGAGGTCGAGATAACCTACATAACTTGTCAATGGTCTTTTGCTCTTAAGTGGATCAGCCAAGATTGTCCCTTAGGTCTCCCCACCACACCCCATTGCCCACTTGGTTACTGCCAGCATTTCAGTGCCCAGTCTGCTAAGCCACATGTGCTTGTCATTTTGCTGGTGGTGAGATCCATGCTTTTTGAGATCCTGCATTCTGTCATAGAAAAGGAAATGTGAACTAATGCTTACTCTACAATATGTTTTTAGTTCTTACTTTCTACAATAATACAGTTTTACCTACAAAATTTACGTGCTGTTTTTTTCATTCCAGGTCATAGCATTTTAAAGGTTGACTGTTTGGCTCATTCTTGATTTGTGCTTATTTTTCAAAATGAGACTAGAGTTCACAATCTGCTCCTAGTTAATGGGTAATTTATTTTTAATTTTCATGAACATTTAACATTCACATTTCATTCCATTTATAAAAAAATGCATTTATGTCAGGTAGTTATCTCTGACCTTGTGTTTTCTTGTAATGAACTTTTTAATAGGTAAAATGTTTGGTTGGTTTTAAATTTAAGATGTAGAAAATATCAGTAATAATAATAAACTAGACATATGTGAGATGCACCATGTGCCTTGTATTCTTCTAAGCATTTTTACTGCATTAATATAATCCTCACTGAGGGGATGCTGCAGGTATCATTATCATCCCTAATTTTGAACATGTGAACTGAAATAGAGAGACAGACATCTGAATATAATCTGGCCTGAGTTTGTTCTTTTTCCTTTGGAAAGCCTTTTTATAACACAAGTCTCTCTTTTGGATTGGATTCAGTGCTTAGCCTATGACAGGCAGTTTTCTTTCATTACATGTATAACAACTCCCTCTTATTCCCTCCCAGACTCTTAAGTTTCCCCAAGGCAAGTACCTTGCTTCTACTTTTGTGCAAATGTAGGACTTAGCAAAATATCTGGCACACTCTAGGTATTTAACAAACACTGCTTTGCCAGAACTAATTTTCCCATTTAAAAAATGGCAGTATCATCTCTCCCTAGTTCATACAATAATTCAGAAAATCAAATGAGAGCTCATGGCTGTTTATAAACTTCACAGCGCTACCTGAATAGATACTGAAGCAATTATGGAGTGCAATGAAAATGCTTTTAAAACCTCTGAAATATTAGCACAGGATTTGGCACCCGGAACAATTAGGATCCTGATAGGCCAGCATGTTGTTGTGTTCTGGCAGGCTTATTCTTAACCAGTGGTCTTAATAATGTCACATGGCTTTTGTATACACTGAAGGCATGATTTTTTTTTCATTCAATACAAAGCATGAGAGAAATGTTTTATGTCATGATATTGAAGTATTGCAGAATCATAGGGTCTAAATTCTGTAACTAGTTCTGTCATCTAATTCAGTGTTTCTCAGTATTGACCACATATGAGGATCTTGGGTTGTAGTTTTTTTTTTTGTTTGTTTGTTTGTTTTGTTTTAGTTGTAGATGGACACAACATCTTTATTTATTTATTTTATGTGGTGTTGAGGATTGAACCCAGTGCCTCAGGCTTTTGAGGCAAGCGCTCTACCACTGAGCTACAATCCCAGCCCCTGAGATTGTAGTTTTGTTTTTGTAAATTAAAGATTCTTAGGTTCTGCCTTTGGATGCATAGAATAATATCTCAAGTGGGAAGGAGAGATCACCACAGATAATTTTGATGAGCATTTAGTAATGAGAAGTATTCTCAATATGTTTGAAATACTGTTTGAGAAAAATGGCTTAATGTTACCAAAAATATTTTTAATGGGAAGTGCAGTTGTTTCTTATTTAATAGCTTTCAGAAGCACTGACATTTATTTTGTTACTCTGGAGTATATTTTACAGTCAATTTGTGCTGGTGAGCTTCGTGGATACTCTAATTACTCAAAACCATATGGCCATGGCAAGTAGCTGATAAATGGGTTACAATTTTCCAAGCTAAAAGAAAATCAACCTTGCCTTGCTTGGGAGAAATTTGGAGCATGGAGCCTTTCCTCTCTTACTTCAACAGAAATCACAGTTTTAGATGCAGAAATTTCATGACTCGTTTGTAGAGGTGCAGGGCCATCTATTCAGGCAGGAGCCTTGATGAGGCTCATCACTTTCCATAAAAGGTTGTCATCCTCACCATCTGCTAGTCTAATGGTCAGATTATTATGTGCTTCTGCCCTTAGCAACATAGAGTACTTGCAGGTCAGGGCCCCATCCGAGAATATAATCTGGAGCTGTCAGATATCCAGCTCTTGTCAAAAGCCTCATCATGGAGAATTGTTTGAAGAATGTACAATCCAAGTATACTATTTTATTCTAGGGTTTATCTCTGTACCAAAGTGAGCCATCAGAAAGCTACTTTAAAAACTCTGATTTTGGTACTCCTCACTTTCCTCTTTATAAAATAGGGCTTCAGTTTCCAGAAACAAGCATTGGGAATTTATGCAGCAGTTGCATTATGCAGCAGAAGCTTTCGTATGGGTGATAGGGAGTGTGTGTGTGTGTGTGTGTTTTCAATTTAATACGTAAAACCCTGTGGTGATAATGCTGTAGCTTATTAAAATGTGGCAAATTGGAAAAATTTCACTTCTCTTTCCTCCATATACAGTGTATTATGTACTCTTTTTTATTCAGTGGGCTAAATATACAAAGTAGAACTGTTATTCCCATTCTAATTATTTTACAATACTTAGCATTCCTCTGCATCTTTGCTTTTGTATTACTGATTCTCAGTTTCTGCCTTTTTTTCCTAATAAAATGAGCCATTTGTTCTTTTATCAAAAAAATTCAATTGATGACTTCTTTTATAAATAAAATATGTTCTTATTCTAACTGAAAATCTGTACATTTTTTTTTTTTTTTTAAAAAAAGCCTTTCTACAATTTGTGACTAAAAACTCTGAATTCAATCTTTACATGTAGGGGAAAATTTGATTTAAACTTACTTGATTTTTACTTATCATTCAAGAATGTATTCATATTAAACACAAAATCCTAACAGACAACTTGAAAAGATAAGGATCTGTTTTAACCAATCTCTTTTTGGGGGAATATTGCTGAGGTTTGAATCCTGGGCCTCCAGCATTTCAGGCTCTAACACTGAGCTACACCCCCAGCCTGTTAACCAGTCTCTTGATGCATGCCAGAGAGTTTTAATGCTATCTGGGGATTGGACGGGGTCTTCCTGGTTTTTCCACCTTCTGACATCCTCCAGTCACAAGAATTTGTCCTGAGGCTTCTCTTTTCAAGGAATATGAAGTTCTAACATGTCTTTATGTTTTCAGGTGTCATTTCCCAAGAGGATGGAAATGTGAGAGGTGAAAGGCTTTCATCTTCTAAGATGTGTCTGCCTGCCCACTCCCCCCTCACCAGTTATTTATATTGTATTGACCAAACCTATGGCCTGTCATAGGTATAAGAGAGATGGGAAAATAGTTTTTTACTTTTCTTTCATGTAACAAGCGTGACAAAGAGAAGAGGTCTTTGAATTGCTTCATTCAATTAATCTTTCTAAATAGTCTTTGCTAAGTGTCCTTACTGAATATGAACCAATATTTTTCAGAGCACATTTAATCTAAATCTGTTCACATAGATAATTCCTCCTTTGAGGCACAGATTATATTTTATAAAGTGTTGAGATTATTTATTTGATAAATCAAATTCCAAAACCCATATGAGCAGATAATGTGTTACAAACTTTAGTGCTTTTATAATGCAGTCTCTTTGTAACCTTTTGAATAATTTTGTAATTTTTTGTGAGACTAGCAGAATACAGTAGATGTAGATGTTGAAAAATGGTAATTTTCATACCACAGTAGCATTAGACAAGCTTTTTTAAGAATTTGATTGAAGGAAGAAGAAAACAATAAAATATTGAATGTGAGATAAAACTGTATACTTCATAAAACAGGTAATGCCTTTGTTTGGGAGTAAATGAGGAGAAAAATAATGTGGCCCAGCAGAGATAATCCAATGTAGTAAAACAAAGGACAGTCAGGCAGCCTGGGCTTCAGTTCCTTTCCACATGTACAATCAGCTGCACTTTCTACCTTCTCTCTTTGAGCCTCAGTTTCTCCATCTTTTCATATAAATAGTACTTGTGCTAATTTCATACTGTCCTTTGCCCCCCCCCCAGAAAAATACTTAAAACATGGTAAGGGTTATTAATTATTAATTTCCTTTACAGAATGGATAAAGGTAAATGTAGTGACTACTTTCAAAAGCAAGGTATATGTTAGTGTCTGTGGCCTACTCTCAACTTACCTTTTATGTGAAAGACACCCATACTTTATCAATAGACCAAATGCCAAGCTTAGAATGGCACAGTGGTGTTATTATATTGAAAGTGACTACCAGAAAAAGAAAAAAAGAAAAACTCTATCCATTTTCTAATTGGATATATTTATTAATTCCTTATACATGTAGTAAAATTTGTAGAAGTTATTGAATCTTAGAAAAAAAAAAGATTGTATTTTCAGAATCCAGAGTGTGTATGTGTTTGTTTATAATTTTTTATATTTTTTCTCCACACTAGGATTTTAAGAGTGGACTTGGTATTACTGTAATTCCTATGAATGTAGCGAATGTAAAGCAAGTGGACCGAACTGTGAAACAGTCTTTTGAAATAATTACCCCCTATAGGAGTTTCAGGTAAGGTGTCTTTAAATATTTTTTATTTTTATACTACTACAAGAAAGTTTGGGTGATACATCTTTATAATGCTAGTGGTGATTTCATCTCTTATCGAATATTTAAAATTGTTTTCTAACCTTTCCATATTGCCTGACTTACTAGCCAGCCTACAGTAAACATTTTTTAAAAGTGACCTGAATAATCAGGCAACTTGAAAAGATACTTATTTCATAAAATTTGCATTGTTGGGCTGGGGATGTGGCTCAAGCGGTAGCGCGCTCGCCTGGCATGCATGCGGCCCGGGTTCGATCCTCAGCACCACATATAAACAAAGATGTTGTGTCTGCCGAAAAAAAATGAAAAATAAATATTAAAAATTCTCTCTCTGTCTCTCTTTTTCTCTTTAAAAAAATGCATTGTTTCTTTTAATACCTCTTTTTTCTTGGTAGTAGTGGTGAGTATGTTAAATTTTATCAATAAATATTTCACAAATTTCTTCACATTTTGGATGGAAAAAACCAAAAGTGCATATTACATTGCTTTAAATTGTATTGCTTACCTTCCTTTTGCCTATCAGACACCTCTTTGAAGATTGATCCCTTCACAGTTGCTCCATGCACTTTTGTCCAGGGAGAGCTCAAGAGGATACTGATTTTAATGGATCACTTCCACTTATTGATCCAAATAATTTAGCATTTTGATATATATTTATTATATTGTGATAGTCTTGTAATTGCATTATGACAATTAATTTAAATTACTTAATGAGTTTTAATAATATATAAAGACTCCATAGATTTAGTAAATGTTGTAGACTGAAGTCAGTATCTTTGAGTTCAACTACATTGATTCATTTGTCTCAAATAATCAACATACTCCAGGGTAATGTGCCGATCAGAAGTAATTGTTCTCTGCTTTTGAAGGACTAAGAATCACTTGACAGTTTCAAAGATGCTACTAACTCTGTTATGCACTTGTCTGTCAGAATTTGACCACTATCTCAACATTGGAGAAAGAAATGATTAAATAAAGAACAGCAAGCTAGGGTTGGTACCCATAGCTCAATGATAGAGCACTTGCCTATTGTGTGAGAAACCCTGGGTTTTGTCATCTCTTGACCTTAGCCAAAAGATCAAATAGTGATCTGGGTTTGATACCCCTCCCCACCATAATTCCAGATTCTAGCCTCAAATGAAAATGTAGATACTGGCTATGACCAGTATCTAGTAGAACTTGTAAGCTAGGAATTTTGTTAATCGTTATGATTGTTCATGGAGTGCTTCAGAAAATATAGCCATGTAGGCCACTGATTATTTTTATAGATTATTTAGAATATGTTAATCATCTATTATTTTCATTGTAATTCAAAGCATTTTAATTTTGACAGCAAAATTTTAATGTGATGAATTATTTTGTTGGTCATTAGTTGTATATGTAGCACATTCCTTGGCACACTGAAGGGAATCAGTAAATCTTTTTTGAAGGATTGAACTACTATTTAATGTTTTATTCCTCAGTCAGAGGCATAATAAATACCAAGAACCAGAAAAAGTCAGAACATGACTAAAAATGAGTTAGAAATTCGTTAGAATAGTACCACTTAAAACTTTCCTGGTTTCTCAATCTCTTTAAGCCATCTGGGTATTCTTCTAATTTTAAAAAAATCTATTTTTTAAATATGAAAAAAATCATAATTTCTGGTGGGTGTTTTTGATAATTTTAGCTCTGAACTGTCATGGCATACTTGCTTGGTAAAATATTCCAGTAGTCCTGAAACTTGGCCAATTTCTCATTGATTATTATATAATCATGGTTTAGGAAATGTGGCCTCTCATTTAAGCTTTTGACCATCACAAAGTAATTTTTTATATTATGGTGAGAAAAATGTGTATGTTAGTTTTGTTTTAAGATATGTAAACAAAGTCATAAACAACATGGAAAATTAAAAAGTAAGAAGCTGATTTGTTAAGTTAGATGATTTTTAACAGAAAAGACAATCCAGAACTGCCTGGCGGGCATAATTTTAAGCTGCTGTTTAATTTGTGAGTGAAATGAATATGCAAACTGAGCATACTGCTTCATTGGCCTTTACGAGGGAGATGGATAATGCCGAAATGTTGATTGTTTCAGCTTTACAGCCGAGTCCGAAAAAGAGAAACAAGACTGGATTGAAGCTGTGCAGCAGTCGATAGCAGAAACGCTCTCTGATTATGAAGTAGCAGAGAAGATTTGGTTCAATGAATCCAACAGGAGCTGTGCAGATTGCAAAGCCCCAGACCCTGACTGGGCGTCCATCAACCTGTGTGTTGTCATCTGTAAGAAGTGTGCAGGTAATAAGTGACAAGTCACGCTCATCACTGCTCTGTGGCAGATTGGCACTGACTGCTGTGTTGTCATATGTAATGTGTTCTAGCTAATGGTGGTGAAAAAAACAGAGAAAGCTTGTTGAGTTTAAGTCCAATTCAGAAATATAGAATTTTAACTTTTCTAATGCATGACTCAGATGTAGAAAATTGATTTTTAAGCATGTACTCCTATTTTGTGTCTCCTGGTCCATGTATAGATTTTTAAAAACACAATGTTGAAATTTTTAGATTTTTAGAACATACCCAGAGCAAACTTGCATCTTTGCATGGAAGACTGTTCCTTTTTTTTCCATATTTTATAAGACGTTTTTCACATCGAGGTTGTTCTGTGCTTTAAGCTTTGTGTGCTGAATCTAGTACTGTTAAAATGGGATATTATGTAGAATTTTATGTATAACAGTATAGATACATATGGCATCTCAGTGTATTTGGGAGCTCAGTTATGGAAGTGAGCAGAGAGAAATGGACCCCAATGTGTCTTAGAGAAAGTAGCCATAGTCCAATCTTCACTGCAGTTTTCTGGGACTGTGTCCCCCTACTGTCCACTTTACAGACACAATTCACCAAGCATATACAGTACCATGCTGGTGTGGGGAATCAAAAGGATTTTATAGAAGTCCTGACATTTCCTCCAAGAATGTGTGAATAATAACTGTGAAGAGTACAGTAAGTGAAGGACTAGACCTGAGCGCAGGTTCAATGACAGAATCCAGGAGAGCAGTCCTGACTTACCTGGAGCAGGGACAGTGAGCAGGGAAAGCCACATCAGTTGCCTAGAGTGTTTATTCTTTTCTAGAGCTCTATTCTAGTCCCTTTCTCATCATACCAAGATAACAACTTTCCTCACCAGTTAATTAGCAGCCTGAATTGCAGCACTGAAAAACATCTAATCAGCCCTGTGCTGTACTTTTCTCATCCTTTTCTCCTCTCCAGTCTCATTAGAAGAGATGGCTTTGTGTTCTCCCACACTGCTCTGCTCACACTACCTTTCTTTCCTCCCTCATTAGGATCTTCAGCTCTTCCTGATTCAATCTCTTGAATATTTAGCCATGGTTTCTTCTGCTCTATTATGGAAACGTGCATAAGTCTGACCAGGTTTTATGAAAACTCTCAGTCTGTTCCTGTGTGTTCCATTCTGTGTCTTTTCTTTCCAAAGATGAGGTACTTTCCAGATCACATGGTAACCTGCACATGTTTTCTTCATTCTTTTAATTTCTTTGCTTTCCTTCAGCATCCTATAATTCACCTTTATTTCCTCTTTATTCCAATAAATGTGTTTTGGCCACATATTCCAATGTATTTTACTTCTCAGTTTCTGTGTTGCCCCACTAACTTCATTGTCTTCTCTGCAGTATTCCAGACCTTTGCCCAACATGCTTTTCTGATCTCCATCCTCCCCCAGCCTCCACAGTACCTTCTATCTCAGCGTGTGAGTACCGCCTGCTGGTCATCCTTTCTCAGGCTGCTTTTCCTCTTCACACCCCTGTAGTATGTTTATTCTCTTTGGTTACATCCTCAATTCTCTTTCACTTGGGAGTTCCCACGTGATTTTTTTTTTTTGGGGGGGGGGTGGATTCATCACTCACCTATAGGCAGATGATTCTCATTCTGTTGGACACCAAACTCATTTACCTAAGTGAATCTCTACTTAGATTTGCCAAAAACACCTCAGCAACAGCGCAACAAAATTGGAGCCCATATTACTGCTCCAGCCCCTTGCCTAAAGCTGCACATTTTCATAAATTGCCTGTATGGGTGTGAAGCAGTACTGTCTGCCCTGCACTCAAACCTAAGAGGCCCTCTTGACTCTTCTGCTTTTCTTAAAGCTCACTGTGGCCCACCAGTTTTATCTTCATGGTATCTCTAAATCTGTCCTGTCCATTTTGCTTTTCTTCCTGCTGCCTCAATTTAGATCTTATCCTTTCTTGGCTCAGCTTTTCTAGCAGTCCCTTTTAACTCTGCATTTTCTTTTTTTCAGTACTGCCTTTAGGTAGTTCTTAAAAATGCAAACCAATGCAGATATCTATCTATCCTGGGAATTCTAGGGCTTTGTGCTCTGAAAAGATTTCACCTTCAAGAAAGGAGGAAAAGAACCTCTCTCTTAACAAGAGAGAGGAATGAACTTTTACTACTTATAAGGAAAAGGGTCCTTAAGATCAAGCTCAAGGTCATGTAACTTTTTTCGTTTTCAGCTTAGCATCTGATATCTACTTGGACACTAGTTAGACTATAAAGCCTAATTGAATTAACGATAATAGAATGCTGGGCTCTTACACTCTTCCAGATGTAATCGTAGAATGAAGAATCCATATTTCTAAAATTTTATTATTAGAGATGTAGCTTTTAAAAACATTATTAGGAATAATATCTATATTCACATGTATAGGATTCAAACAGCCTCATTTAAACAGGTCTTCAGTGATTTCTAGCTAATTACCAAGTGTGTGTATGTGTGCGTGTGCGTGCGTGTGTGTGTGTGTGTGTGTATACACACAGAGAAACACATATACATGCATGCATACATATTCTTTTAATAGTATAGTTTTATACTAATACGGTCAGTGATGAAGATGATTGACGGTTATCTTTGTTGTGTCATCTTCATTGTGTTTGTTTATGATCTGTGTATAAGTACTACAACTACTCTTAGTGCTGTTGGCATATAAGAAAGTAAGTGCTGGTTGGTTTTGATACGTACACACACACTTAGGTGTGGATACTTATACTCATTTTGGGGAAAACAAGATAAAATAAAATCTTGTGCAAACTAAAGTAGAAATTGAATTGTTGTTGACTCCAGGACAACATAGATCTTTGGGACCAAAAGACTCCAAGGTTAGAAGTCTAAAAATGGATGCCAGCATTTGGAGCAATGAGCTCATTGAGGTAAGTCCTGCATAACTGGTGGTGAGCAGAGACTGGGGAAGACATAGATAGGCAATGCCTGGTGTGAATTTCTTTACAGCCTCTTTGATGAAGTTCTTGCTTTATAAAAATGGCTTATGCTTATAGTCTGTTTGAGAGTTGTAAGACTTTCAGAAATCTTCCTAAATGAGATAGTTATTTTAAAATAAAAAGTAGGAAGAGCTTTAATGGCAGTGAAAGGGAGAAATCTCTCTTTTATATCAGCATGGTGAAATATGAAAAAAGTGAATAAAGACATTTGGCAAAATGTCCTCACCTTGGCCGGGCTCTGCCACTGACTGTGGTGCAGTCTAACCTGCTGTCCCTTCTCTCCACTTTCTGCTCCTCCTCCACAACTGCTCACAAAGAATGGCATTAGCCCACCTGCTCTGTCCTAGCGTGAGTTTCAAAGAATAAAATGACTTTTGCAGCAGTTTGTGTTGCCTGCAGTTTCTTTTCAAGCTGACGTTTTGCCATTATTCAGAGCAGCAAGGCAGGGTTTAAAAATAGAGGATCTGCTTTCACACTTCATCTTCTTGAAAGAGTTGAGTCTTGCGTGTGTTCCCTTGTATTTCATACTAAGTCGTGCTTTAATTTATAATCTGAGTCCAATTTTTTTGCAGATTCAAATACATTTTATGAACTGATATGTTTTATTTATTTATTTTTTGACTTAAGCTTTTTATCATCATTGGAAACAAAAGAGCAAATGACTTTTGGGCTGGTAACCTTCAAAAGGATGAAGAATTGCACATGGACTCACCAGTGGAAAAGAGAAAAAACTTTATTACTCAAAAATACAAAGAAGGGAAATTCAGAAAGACTCTCTTGGCATCTCTAACCAAAGAAGAATTAAATAAGGTATTCAGTAAATCCTAACAATGGATATGGTGTTCATTGCTTTTTTGAACATAGGACAAGCTTCTTGATTAAAAAAAAAAAAAAAAAAAAATTGTACTACTTGATGCAATTATGGTTTTATTTACGATTATTTTGTGAGAATGTTTCTCCACTGTTTTACTTGAAGATTCGTTACCAAGAGGGGAGGGACATTTCTTCCATGACTGTTTCCACTTAACTCAAATCTTCCCCAGAATCTTTAAACTTTGACAGCTCTTTCTGTTTTTCAGAGATTACGATATACTTTTATGCTGGGGGTACTAGGTTTTGAACCCAGACCACTGTACCATGGAGCTATATTTTTAGCCCATTTTATTTTTTATCTTGAGACAGGATCTCACTTAGTAGCTGTGACTGGCCTTGAACTTTTGATCCTCATGCCTCAGTTTCCCGGGTTGCTGGGTTTAAGGATGTGCACCTCTGTGCCTAGCTGTGCTATACTTTTTATCTTGCTATTGTATCACTGATCACTCCACTTTTTTAAATATTTATTTTTTAGTTGTAGTTGGACACAATATCTTTATTTATTTATTTTTATGTGGTGCTGAGGATCAAACCCAGGGCCTCAAATTTGCTAGGTGAGCGCACTACTGCTGAGCCACAACCCCAGTCCCCATCACTCAACTTTTTATTTCCAGCTCTGATTTGCTCAGTGCCATTGATTTGGAGTCTTGTTTGCTGTGGCCTAGGGATTCTGTATCCTTTCATGCTGATTTCATGCTACTCATTTGGTCTTTTGGTGAAAATATTAAGGCAGAGGGCTTCGTTAAGTAGCTCCCACCCCTTCTTAGGTTTTAAATTGCTGCTTCATCTCTTATGTGTTAGGAGACTTTTCTGTGTATAGGCATTTACAGGATATACCTATACCTTTATATACCTGTTTTCATAAGTGTTCAGATGATCATTCCATGGTATTCACTTCTCTACTGTTTTTAATGGTAATGCTTGTTGGGTAAGGATCTTAGGGGTAAGTATCATATGCTATACATTTACAAAATAAAGACCATTGTCCACATATAAAAGGTTAGCTATACAATTGACTTATGCTATTATTCTATTGATTCAGTATTCCTAAAGCAAGTTGTTTTTTGTGTATCTTTGGTATTAGTAAAGTGAGTTCATGAACTAATTTTAAAGTAAGAGCTCATAAAGAATGAAAGATTTTCCCAGGGTGGTGGTGCACACTACCACCCCGCATACCACTCAGGAGGCTGAAGCAGGAGGATAGCAAGGTTGAGACCAATCTTAGCAATTTAGTGAGGCCCTAAGGACTTAGTGAGACCCTTTCTCAATATAAAACATTAAGAAAGGATTTGGGGGGGAATAAAAGATCTGGGGAGTGCTGGAGTTGTAGCCTAGCACATGTGAGGCACTGGGTTCGATCCTGAGCACCACATAAAAAATGAACAAATAAAATAAAGGTATTGTGTCCATTTATAACTAAAAATGTTTAAAAAGGGGCTGGGTGGGGGCTGAGAGTACAGCTCAGTGGTTAAGTGACCCTGAGTTCAATCCCTGGAACCAAAAAAAAAAAAAAAAAGCGAGTAATGAAAGATTCAACATGGATTCCTGAGGTGGGCCCAAACCTGGGAGATTGGACAAGAGGTTTGGAACTGAATAGTTAGATGTAGGTTTTTATGAATATTTGATATTGCTTTGCATAGTGTCTTCATGAGTGCTAATTAGACTATTGCAATAACTGAACATTACACTGGACATTCATGGAATAATAAGGCATCATAAACCTAGTATTGTATTTAATCTAATTCTGTATGCCAGAGTTCTACAACATAAAGTGTAAATTGTGAGTTTTGTAAGGTAATTGGTGAGTTTGGAGAACAAAGACTTTCCTTCCCCCCATTCTTTTCTCTACTTAAATGGTAATGTGAATCTTGTCAGTGATAATTGACATACTCAAGTGAGAAGTTGCCATGAATTAACACACTAGTATTGGTTTTGAGTGAGGGCTAGCAACTATATTCCTCTTAAATATTTTTAGGGAAGTTTACCTATTGGAACTTACCTCTACAATGGATTCTTAATGAGTGCCATTTTAGTGTGAGTGAATAATTTTAAAACAATTACGCTATTGGTTATTTATTGTGCACTTGCAAATTGGTGAGTACTCTGGTGCTGGGGATATGTTTGTGTCAACAAATAGATGTGCTGTTTTTATTTATGGCAATGGCAGTCAAATAGGGGAAAGTGTCCATAAACAGCTAGATTCTAATAAATACAGGATAAATACACAGTGTGCTCTGAAGGGAAAGACTGGCAGGAAGAGAGGAAATGTGACTAAGTGGAGGAGGCATAGAGGCTGTCAGAGGAGAAAGGGTGATAGCCATTGTTTCTTTCCTGTGCCTTTTTGCAGGAAAGAAGAAAGTAAGACCCAGAGAGACAGGCCTTGCTCAAGGACACCTAGCAAATTAGTACAAAATTGAGTGTAAGAGTGCAGGCTTTCTGATCCTAATGGGAGGGGAGTTCTAGAGGTCAACTAGACCAGGTTTGAAAAGATAAGTATTTTTTGAATAGTCAACCCTTTGGGCCAGCAACTGTGAATGCGTCTAGAACTTCTTTTCTGTGCACCTACCCTTCTCACGGAGCAGCCGCTGCAACATTGTTCTGAGCTCACATCATGGAGGGCAGATCCACAAGTGATCCCTCCAGATGAGCCCATAAGGGAGGAGGTGAAGCTGTGGTTTGAAGCTGCACATTCAGGTGGAATCAGGGTGCCACAGTATGAATATTTGACTGCATGTTATAACATGCACCAATAATGTTTTATTGCCTCTTGGTTACTGTTTACTGTTCTTCCTCCTCCTATCCCTTGCCCTCCCGCAAAAAGATACTGAATTTGCTTTGCCCTTATCTTTCAAATTCCCAAAGCACAATAATAGTTTAAATATTCTACAGCTTCTAATTAGGCTAGGAAAAATATATTAATAACATTCATATGGTGGAACATTTAGTGGCTACTTCATTATTACATTTGAAAGGTTTTGAATTTTCTTATTGTCAACCACAATAGAATAGGTAGGCATAAAAATGTCTTCCAAAGCAGCTATGATGGATGGGAAGATTTGGAAGGAGAAAATCACAGCAACAAAGGAGCAAACTGAGATGCAGAGGTCTTAGGTTGTAATTTAAATCCATACAAAGCAGGCATTTTGTGCCTATTGCCTAATTCAGAGCTTAGTTATTATTAGCTGCCTCAGGGAACACTGAATAAAAACTTCATCTCATAAATGAATAGTGAGACTTTCATTCATTGTAATAAGTAGCATCATATTTACTTCCCTTAAAAGGTATATTATCTTTTCATGGCTAGGCTCTGTGTGCTGCTGTGGTGAAACCAGACGTGCTGGAAACGATGGCTTTACTGTTCAGTGGAGCTGATGTCATGTGTGCGACTGGAGACCCCGTACATAGCACCCCCTATCTCCTGGCCAAGAAGGCTGGGCAGAGTCTGCAAATGGAATTTCTCTATCATAACAAATTCTCAGGTTTGTCCCTTACCCTAAATTAACCCACTTTCTTCTGATGCATCCCTTAAAGGATGAAAGCACAAATCTCGTTATTTCTCAACTTAAAAAATAAAAAAATCAGAAGGAAGAAAATTATAATTACCAAAATATTCTGTTATACCATTTCAAGCAAAAGTTGAGGAAATGTATTTTTTTTAATCTCATAAATGTGAGATGAAAAGCTCTGGGAAGTGAAGGAGAGGAGAAATCAAGGATGAAGTGTTTGACTTATGTACGACTAGAAGATGGTGCCAAGAGAAAGAATAACTTGGGGAGATGATCAGAAGTTTAGAGTTACGTATATTTATTTTGAAATATTTAGGAAACATCTAAGTTGAGATGTTAAAATAGTTAATCCCACATAATCATTTTCACCAAAATTAAATCCGATTTTTCATATATGAATAACAAGTATGACTTAAGTGCTTATTTGCAAATTTTATGCAAAGTAAAATAAATTGCTCTGCATTTATTCAGGGGTAAATTTGAAGTCATTTTTCTTCTAGCTCAAAACTCATCTAAATATTCATAAACAAAGGGAAGTTGTTTGCATTTTGGATTTCCAAGGTATTGTTTCTTTAATTTTTCTAGATTTCCCTCAACATGACATTCATTCCGAGGGTGGGTTAAATCAAGATGCCACCCAGTCCGTGTTCCTCTGTGACTTCTTGTATCAGGCTCCTGCTGCTGCTTCTAAAGTCTCTTCAGAGAAAAAACTGCTTGAAGGTATCTTTTCTGCTCCTCTTAGATTTTGTTACTGGATAAAACTTTATTCCATTATCAAAACAATTAGGTTTAAATTTTGATTTTTTCCCCTTAAGATGTTAGATTTCATCTTACAGTAGAGAGAGATTTTTAAGGATTTATAAATGCTTCCAGGCACAGATATTATTTCATGTATTGCAACAGGGACTTACCACTGGTTTGGAATGCAGAGTGAATTCTCAACAGAATTCACTGGTTTCTACCTTATGAGCCATCGAAATCTGTTTCTGATACTCAAACCTTGCCCTTAGGGATACCCAATTGGTGAGGTAATATAGATAACTTGCCAGTTCTTCCTATGTGTTTGCATTTTTCATTATGGTTTGAATCTCTCTTATCTGAAATACTTGGGACCAAAAGTGTTTTGGATTAGATTCCAGACTTTTTTGGATTTTGGAATAGATCATATCTATAATGAAATATCTGGGCATGGGCTCTAAGTCTAAACACCAAGCCTAAAGGTAGTTTTATACAATTTATTCAATAATTTTGAGCATGAAACAAAGTTTCATGGAATGGAATTTTCTACTTGAAGCATCATCTCATGCTCAAAAGGTTTTGGACTTTGGATCTTCAGGATAGGCATGCTCAGGTTGGCATACATTCAGTCAGAGTACTGACTGACAGGAGTAGTTAAATTTGTTGTGATTAGAAATATGAGTACGTTTAAGTAAAATAAAACCTAAGCATAGTTTCCAAGAAATTATTGGAATCAATTTGATTTAAAATCATATTCTCAGTTTGGGGAATTTGATGAGCAGAGTCACTGGGCATTCGTTCCTTTACCCAGCAACTTTATCCAGGAATATGCTAGACATTGTGAATATAAAGATGACTAAGACACTGGCCTCATGCTGACGCTACGTACATTGGAACTAATTTGAGAAATAGAGTCATAAAAATATGACAACTGTCTTCCTGGAACAAAGAAAGTGCAAGAAGATTAGGCTAAATAGGACAATTGAAGGTGGGCTTTGATTGGTTCAGCATCCTAACCATCCCTAGATGGTGCAGTTCAGCTGTTACTCAATTCAAGGAACAACAGGATGAGAAACTCACTTTACAGTGTTAATCCTGATACTTGTGCATTTGAAGTTACTACTGCAGTATAAATTCTTTACCGGTTGAGTATTCCCTTTTGGAAATACTTGGGACCGGAAGTGTTTTAGATTTCAGATTTCAGAGTTTCTCAAACTTGGGAATATTTGCATTGACTTTCCTGGTTAAGCATCCTTAATCCTAATCTTCACAGTCAGAAATGCTCCAGAATTCTAAACTTTTTGAGTATTGCATAAGTGCCCAAAATGCTTCATATTTTGGAACACTTTTGCATTTCTGATTTCTACTTTAGGTATGCTTAATTTTATTAAAAAAAATAAAATTGGAAGTCATATCCAAAGCAGATTATATTAGGATTATCTGTACTCAGATTTTTCTGAAGACAGTATGTGAGCATGTATGGTATCTAAGGCACTGTTGTAGGCACTTTGCATTCATTACAGGTCATCCTCATAGAAAGTCTGGGAAATGGTTGATGTTATGCCAGTCTTCACATGAAAAACCAAGGAGCTCAGCATGAAGCAGAATTATACACCTGAGTGTGTCATAATTATTATTGTAACATTTTAGCCTAATCACACACAGTGTGACAGCTAGGGGGTAGTCAGATGGAAAAGCATTTTTATCAATTGAATTTAGATGTTTTGGGTTCTTTCAGCAATTGATTTTTTTATTGTTTTCCCTTACTCAGCCTAATCGATAATACGTGACAAATTTTACAGAGCCTTTAAAAATCTTCTATTTTTCCTGTCAGTATTTCATCATTAAGTAGTCCAGAACCACCCAGAAAGGTTAAAAGTACTTGGACAACTTGTAGACGTGACTATAACAATTGTTAAAAGAATTGAATATGCCAAATAATATACTTGTCAATAAATTCACATTTCCAGAATGTTTCTTCTAAGTACCAGGGGATCTTAGACTCATTCTTCAAATCACTTTATTTATATAAAGATCAAAAAGGGGATTTGAAATACAGTATTTTTTCTTAAAGCTTTGTAACCTATCATAAGCATATAGTATATGCATTATACATGCCAAAGTATATTTATAAGCTTATCAGTTTGTTTTAATATTTTCTCGAAACTTTTTTAATTGACTTGAGTACTACATTTATGTTTTAAACAGTTGTAACTAAACTTTCATTTTTTATAAATTAACTATTGACTTTTTCGTTAAAGTTTATTTCAAAAAAAATGGGAAACGGTATATTCTCTGTACAGTTGGCCCTCGGTGTCTCTGGGGGATTTGTTCCAGAACCTTCATGAATGCTAGGACTATTCAAACCCCATATATAAAGAGGCAGAGTATTTGTATATAACTTATTTACCTCTTCCCATATATTTTAAATCATCTCTAGATTATTTATAATATGTAATACATGGAAGTGGTATGTAAATAAATATTTTATAGTTTAGGGAATAATGGCAAGGAAAATAGTCTGTACATGTTCAGTAAGATACAATGATCTTTTTAAATATTTTTGGTCCATAGTTTGTTGAATACGTGGATCTTGCAAACACGTATATGGATGGCGGACTATTGTGTAATTTAGTTAGAGATATTTTCCTATTTGGAACATTTTTTTCTAAATGTAATATGAAAATAAGCTCTTATATTTTAGCTATGTAACAGGTCAGTAGTGGGTTTACTTGAAAGTAATTTCCTGGCAAGGTATTCTTGGATTCTCTTCTTCGATCCAATTTATCAGCCAGTTCTATATTTTCAAACTCAAAATAGAACCTCCGTTGACATCACTGAAGCTCATCACCATCCTGTCCTGCCTACACTACAGTGCCCTCCATTGTGTCTCCCTCTGTCTTCCCTAGATTTCTTCCAAACCTTTCCTTGAGAAGCAGATTAGTATCTCCCACAATGGACATTGGATACTGTAATTCAGTTGCCCAAGGACATTCATTAGTTTCCCATGTCAGACTGTAACCTTGTTCCTTGCTATGACCTGGAAGACCTTGTCGTACCCATTTTCTCTGTCTTCTGGCATGCAGCTCTGTGCTCCTATGCCTGGCCGTGCTCATTTCCTTTCTGTTCCTTACGGCTGCATCCATTCCTGCCCCAGCTGCCCCTTTACAAATTTCATTTGTTCTGCAAAAACGCCACTTCCCCATGTGGCTCCTCGCCTTTCAAGGATCAACTCATTGCCACCTATGTAGTGAGGTCCCTTATTACCCCCCTGAAGTGTCCTTCCATTGCCAGCCCTTGTCTTTCATGGGTGCCACACATTTCCTCCATGGCTCTTATCACAGGAAGATAACCCTGTCTTCAGCTCTTTATGGTGAAACCTTGGCGAGGCATTGGTGTTTCCTGGCTTGCTCAGAATTAGCGATGTTCTATTACAAGGCTGACACATAGGAATAGCCATGTGATAAATATTTGTTGAATGAATGACCATTTCTTTAGCAAATCACTAGCTGTGTAAAAGGGCAAGTCATATGTTAATATTTTGTTTTCGATAGTACCTGTGGTTTCACAGGGGTATTTCAGCTACCTGAAGACTATTATGGTCCAACAATGTTGAATAGAAAAATCCCAGAAAGAAACACTACATGTTTTCAATTTTTATTTTAGCATATAATTGTAATGGCTCTATTTTATTGCTAGTCATTATTAATTTCTTACAGTACTAATTTATAACTTTGACTTTATCATAGTATGTATTTGTAGAAAAAGACATATACATAGACTTCAGTGCTAGCTGCAGTTTCAGGCAGCCACTGAGAGTCTTGGATTGTATCTCCACTTCCCATGGATAAGGGGCAACAGCTGAATAAAAAGATACACATTTGGTTCAGAAAGATCTTAAAAGTGAAGAAGAAAAAGTTGAACTATCAAGAAATATGAGAGTTTTGAGTTTGGTTTTTTTTGCCTCTCAAGATTCTGCAGTAATATCACTGCTATTGAACACCAGCTTTATGGAAAAAATGAGTTATTTGGAAAGATTTAGAGATTAAAGTGTGGTTGTCACCCTTGCCTCTGAAAGGCAAGCACCTGGACGACGCCACTCCATCAGTACTTGTCAAAACAGCCGTAAGGCAAAATGATTAGAAATGAAGACAAAAGTCTGGAATAAAACGCATGCGGTCCTTCGGGAACTACAGAGGCTTCAGATTGTCAGTTCAGGTTTTCAGGATTTGGAGTTCTAGCTCCTGGGTATGAAGACAAATCTGTATTTCTTCCTTCTTTGTTTGGTGTTCATGAAAAGAAAGATTGATAGCTCTTGTTAAACCGATGTACAAAGCTGAAATAACAGAATCCTGGATTTGTTTTCCATGTTTTTCCTCCCAACCATGTATTGCCCCCTACCTTGGTAACTTGCCTTGACTTGTTTACAAATTGCTTACTTTTAAAAACAAAATGGTTGGCGTTTCTACAAATACAAATAATTTTCATACCATGTGGGAAACATTGAATACAGGATCCTGCATCCAGAATGACCTTAGTGAAGTGCAAAATAGTTGCTGCGGCTGCTGCTGCTTTGCCTAACCCTCCTTGTTCCATGGCTTCTCATCTTTCTTAAGTCCTTATGTTTTTCATCGTCACCATGTCATCTCCTTCTGCAGTTTGGACTTCCTACAGGTCATTCAGTTAGTACTGAACATATATTCTGTCTCATGTTCCTCCTCATTCCTCACTTCTTCTTCCCCCGAAATGGATAGAATGTGAAGATGTGATTTCTAGCAGGTAAAGCACTCCGTACTTAAGGAGTCTTATGTGGTGCACTTCTTGTTGCCATGGCCAGGTTCTAACCCATAAGACAGTTATTGACAAGTTCTTAATCTAAATTTTTTTGTGTGTGTGTTTAATATTAATAAGGTTTATTTTATGAACAAATGAATACACATGTATTTTCATTTGAAATGATAATACAATAGTATTCTTATTTT